TTTCTTCTGTTCGATAAATTCTGTTACTTCAAGGAAAGATTTGCATTTCTGTTAGTTTTTGCTTGAGTTTCTAGACCCATGCTCAACTGTATGTTGAGCAGCAGGTTACCTGCTTAGAAAAAGTGCATCTGTGAACTTCGGATGTGGCATTAGCTACGCGAGTTTGCAGTGCATTGTGTGCAGAGAAGCAGATGGACTCTATGGAAGAGTTAACAGTGACTCACAGTTTGTCTTACGTAATGTTGGTGGGTTTTTTTTCTCCTAAATGGCTTAAAACCCCATATGCTTTGGGAAGGAGAGCTCCAGTAGTTACTCTTGCAGAGCATGGGGTATTCAGTAAGGCGTACAGAGGCACAGCTATAGCCCTGCAGAGGTGTAAGCACCCCTCTTGCATGTTTAACTCATGGTACATCTTGTAACAAAGACGAACACGAAAACAGACCCCCCCCCCCAAATACCAACCCCCCACTGTATCATGAGAAGAGTCACAGCCCACCCTGTACTTTCCATCTCTGTTTTGGGCTCTTACTGCTTGCAAAACTTGAGTGGCTTCCAGTTTAGTCATTTTCTCTTATCAGGAAATTCAGATGAAATTACATTCTACCGGAGGCTTTTAGAGGTATACAGGAGTCCTGTTTGCCTTTACAAGAGATGTATTTTTCTGGCATATTTTCTTTTTTTCCAGCCAAGAGGTGGTCATCTGCTCACTTCCAGCATCCACAACCCCCTCTGAGTTTCACTGCAGACCTGTCTCTGAAAATGAACATTATTGTCGACTCGTACCCCAGTTACCCAAACTTTACTCAGGAGAGCAGAGAAGGGGGGAGAAAAGCGGGGCGAGCCCCCTCTCCACAAAGTTCATTGAGTAAGTACTTAACCAGCTTCCCATTATCAGGAAGGGGATCCATCTGAGACCAAATCTTTGCTAAATTGGACAGCAAGAACTGTACCTAAAGCTAATTTTCTAAACAAAGTGGTTGCTGCCTGCTTTTAACTCTCCCCCAGAAGAGTTGCCTGGGTAAGGATCAATACTCATGAGATGAGCAAGGCACTGCTGTTTATTACCTGTGCCTAGAGCCTCCAACTGCTGCCAGCACCGGGGTGCGCTCACCGATGATCTCTGCACCGAAACGCTTGCTACAGAGAGAAAACAAAGCCGAAAAAAAGGGGTTGGCTGGACCCAGAGCAAGGGCACAGAGGAGGAAACAGAGCCCTCGTCCTGCTTGGCTGCAGCGGGGGAAAGGGGAGGGATGGAGGCATCGCACCCCAAAGGTGCGGAGGAGGGACAGAGCTCTCCTGGCACACATGTCCCTTTGCACAGGGCATCCTCTGCCCCAGTGTCTGAGCCTCTGCTGTCGCAGACCATTCCTCTCCCACACCACCTCCTATTCCACACACCTCCAGCCTCATCCTGCGCTTGACAAGCCATGGCCCTCTCCCAGGGCACGCTGTGGCCTTGTGAGCAGGGTGCTCTCCCTCCAGGTCCACCCGGCAGCCTTTGCTACCTGCAGATGAAGGTGCTGGTGAGGTCAGCAGGTGACACAACCCTGCTTTTATAAGGTTGGTGGAATTATTTTGGCATTACATCAGTGCCGGTGGAGTGCAGCCCCGTCGGTGCCTGTTCAGAGCTCTGGGCAGGTCAGAACTGCCAGATCACATTCACCAGAAAATAAATAATAGCAAAAATCATATCAGGATTTCCACCATGTTACTTGGCTCATAAGGCTCTCAGTCACCAAAACCGTGCTTGTCTGGGTGCCCAACAACCTCGGTGCAGAGCTGCTGAAGCAGAAATAGCTGCCTGAGCGCCTTCAAATCCAGCCTCGGAGCAACGTCCAGCAGGAGCACGCTGTTCCCAGACACGGCACTGATGCTCACCTGTGGGAACACCAGGATGCCCCTGCCACCAGAGAGCAAAGCTGTCCCTGTCCAGAGACGTACACGCAGCAATAACGTAAGACCACTGCCACTTCCATTAAGGTACCAGGATAAAAATCTGCTTTCAAAAAATTAAATTGTCAGTACTTCCCCATGACTCATCTAACAGCCAAGATGTGCTTCTGGCACAAAACCAAACCCGTCATCCACTGAAGACCCAATTAAAAGGAAGAAAAATGGGCAGTTATTAGTTTAAAATTTCACGTGAACTTTCTGCTGGTTACTGGTGAAGCCACACACTCATCGGGATTCAAGAATCACTGAGATACATCAGCACAAGCATAACTAAGCACAAACTCAAGGATCTTTGCTACGTAGAAGTGGAATTAACCAAGCGCATGTTTGGCTTTGAAGCACGTGAAGTGCTTTATTGAAGGTCTGAACCACCTCAGGTCTTCTGAGGGCTTTGGGTCCGACCACAGAAAGCCACCTCTGCTCGTCATTTACCACCACAGCCACACGTGCTGTTGGAAATACAGCTCACTAGGGTATTGTCCCATCTCAAGTATGCCTTTTTTTTCATTGCCTCATCTCGTATACTAAGTTTTGTGCAATACACCATCCGAGCAGAAGCTTTAACCGAAGGGATGTACAGACCCTGCAATCCAGTTTCACAGACACATCGCTTGCAATAAAAGTTAGCTGTAATAAGTAAAATCAGCACCACCAAAGGTAATCAACATTTTATTTATAAACATACATTTACTATAAAAGCTGTTTCATTTTAGACAAGTTTTCCTAATTTCCAGAGGCATTTTAGAATAAATAAAACAAAGATTAGCATAATCGGTATTCAACATCAGCCCCAGCTAGGACAGCAATCCTTGTCCTTGAATAGACATGCAGATAAGGATGGTCGCCTTCTGGTTTACCAGCCTTTAGGACATTCTATAGAACTACAGATGTACGGCATCAATAACTACATAGCAAGAGCAAGGAAAAAATACACCATGGAAAACGGGGTTGTGAAATACAGATGGGTTACGACACTTGTTCAGGTCCTCTGAAGTAGTAAGAGGCTAAATAAATTCTGAAACATCTAAACCCCATTACATAGCTTGTACTTGCTTAGCAATAATAAATCATTTTTTTGCAACAAATACATTTACATTGTAGTTCGAATGTAGTAAAGCGCTGTTTCTTTCTGTGCTCAAAGTTCCTGATAAGAAATGTATCATATTTTATGTGTTTAAACTGAAAAAAAAGGAAAAAAAAATCCGAAAAGATCTTAGCCTGAATGAATTTGCCATGTAATACTCCAAAGGAAATATAAATCAAACCTAAACAGTTGGCAAGTACAGTTTAGATATAACTGTTGGGAATTATTCTGCACTGGTGAGTAGACGTTCATGAGGGAGGAAAATCGTTGCCCGAGAACGCCGCTTCCTTGCGCTTTACGTACGATCAGCTTTGCTAAAGCATGCAGGCACGAAACTAAGCGACAGACACTGGGATCAAGTTCCAAGCAGCTTCAGGTAGGCAGCGGTGCGTCTGCGGCGCGACGCGTGCCCCCAGCCCACCCCTCGCCCATGCAGTTTAGTCCCAAGTGTGCCCCTAAACCCTTCGGGCACTTAGCCCTGTGTGAACGAGAAGCGGATCTGACCTCTGCGACAACCGACCCTTTTCATGCTCTGGGGACCGATCGGCACATCTAAACTCTACCACACAGGCGAAGCGACGCCAGCGACTCACGCCGAACAGACACACAAGCATGCACGGTCTCCTTTAAAAACGAGGCCCAGACACCGTATATTCACATACGCAGCACGTGGATTTACACCGATGCACAAAGTCGGTTATAAAATCTGCTTTTTGAATTTCCCTATTACGCATTATTTGTGGGAAGATGTTACGATGACCACATGCAAAGTGTGAGCATCCTGGTGATCAAAACCCTTTAACAGTAAATCGTGCAGATGGTTAATCAAAATATCGGATGCCACTGTTTTATTTCCAAAACATTTTTTGTGATTTTTTTTTTTAAAGTTTTTCTTAAAAAATATTCCCCGGGTGAAGTCCACGAAGGACTTCAGCTTTTTGGATTTATTGCATCCATAAGTCATCGCTGACTGTGTGCAACAGCTCTGCGTTTTCTAAGGCACAGTATTAAGGAAGTAACACCTAACTTTCCAGGAGACAGTCACGATGTCCTCCAACGACAACAACATCGTACTTGGGTTTTCAACGACGCGCAGTTTTGCATGGGTACACACCTCACATGCAAGCAACTGTCTAGTGTTTAAATAAATAGCTGCTAGCTATAGAATAACTCAAAATTATTGCTTCCCTAATAACCACTTCATTCCCATTTACCAACACATCAAAAGACAATGGATGTGCACATAGATAAAATAAATCACTATCAATTTAGTTTTACGGTAGGTTTAAGGCAGAATAGGTAGATGTTTTTCCCCTCCATTTCAAGTTGCATCGTGAACTGCTAAAAGGGGCTGTTTCAAATAACTCCTTGCCAAGCAGTGCTAGGATGCTGTATACCTGTCACACGTCACCTAACCTGTGTGTTGCAGATAACGTGGCACAGCTCTGACCGCTCTTTCAATCTCACTTTAGTAAGGAGCACACGCTTCAAAAAGCACAAAGGAAAAGTAGCCCAAACACAGGCAAGGAAACATGGGTTTTTTTGCCTACCACTGCCAGCCTCCTCCCTGCCCACCTTGGGCGCTCCCGGCTTTTTGCCAACTTCATTGGGATGGGCGTGCAGAGGAACACAGGTTCAAGGCTGCTTAATTCCCCGCTCTGGAGGGCACCCAAACCACCACGTGTTTCTCCGTGTGCCATGTCAACCAACAGTCACGTTTGCAAGGGAACGGAGCAGATCTCAAACCAACTCAGACCACCAACGGGCAAGTCACACGCCAAAGAGGAAGGTGTCACCCGACCGTCAGCACGCAGCCCGGAGACTCACCATCCGGCTGTGTCCGCCCATGCGGCCTCCTCTCCCCCACACCACCTCTCCTCGAGCTGAGTGACAGCACCGGCTGCTGAACTTAGTAAGCAGGATTGCTCCTACCGGGAATCTTGCCATCGTTAACGGTATACAGTCTTTAGGTTTAATGAAGAAATCTTTATTTGAGAGAATATTAAGCTATAGTCACGAACATTACTTGAGGTACACAAACAACAACAAAAAAATCCTAATACTAAAGGTGCAATAATTTATTTGTGTAACACCTACCCTCCACGGAAGGTAATATAAACACAAAATGCTTCAGAATTACAGGGTGTATTATCAAACTAGTCTCTGTATAAAAAAAGTTATAGCTTCAGTTATAACAGAGAAGTCGTGCTGTGATGTTTAGTTTCTCAAACGCACTGATTAGATACTATCTTAAAATTACTTCTCAGCTCAAGTTGGCATATTCTATAAAGTTTCTGTAAACTTAAACTTTTAAATTCCTAAAAACATTAAACCAAAACAGCTTTATTGCATGTTTATTTTCTTATTACTTTCCAAAGAACAAGGTAACAGGCCGGAGACCATAAACATACCTGAAAGGTGGGATTTTTTTTTTTTGTTATAGAACTTAGGCTTTGCCTTCCCAAACATGGACATACATATTTTGCAAATTTCTTATGAAAGGGAAAAAACCAACATATTGCATTTTAAAGGAGCAGGTGCAGCGCTTTTATGAGTTTTTCAAAATGAGATGAGCGCCATGATGTCCATGGATTCAAGCTCTTACAAGTGATTGTCTGGAGGCAGCCGATACGTACGCGAAGAGAGTTCCTTCTTGACAATCATTGGGACTGAAAGTCATGTCACAATGTAGTTGGCTGTCCAGCAGCTGAGTAAAACAAAACCAAACCCACTCATTAGTTGACAATTTCAACAAACATACATAGGCGTTTCCTCATAGTGTCTCTACAATTTAAAAAAACCTGCATCTGGAAATATATATAATTCGTGGCCTGCTTCTCTTCCTTCCTGCAAAGCTGCGGCACTAACTGCAAAGGAGGATTCAGCACAGCTTGAGTGGAAATGTATTTTCCTGCCATATGGACAAATGCACTTTTATTTCATTTTACTCCTCAAATATTTGTGGGTATATTCACTTTCAGGCTCTGCAGTGACAAAGCAGTACAGCAAAGGACTGATGAGTCATCTTCAGCTGTGCCTGGTTTGTGTTATGTGGCAATACAGAGCCCTTGTGCTATTTGGCCATACAGGGAGTCTCATTAATTCACTTGCCTTTGACCTCAGCACTCACAGACCTGCAACTATTCCCCGTGTTTGACAATGAATATCAATTTTCAGTAACTATCATTGTGCAGTTCTGCTGTAGAGAAAAAGCCCCCATCCACCTTTATTTGAAAAATAGAAATATTTTGTACCTTGGACCACTACATAATCCTCAATGCTTTTCTCTCTTAGGGTTTTGGATAGTTTATTTTGAAACAAAATCATCCACAGTTTCAAATGAGCTTCTGGCAGCCAAAGTATTTAATGGAAAGGTCCACAGGCATCTCAAAACAATACGGATTGATTCTGGGTTGGTCAGAGACCGTCAGTTGTGCACACTGCTGCACTGGTTTGCTGATGCAGCTGCGGGGGCAGGAAGGCACGAGCTGTGCGATAGGGTAAGCTGCTATATTTAGCATCAGACTTCCCAGAACTAAAAACACTAACATTGCACCAGCTTGTTCTTCCCTTCAGATGTTGAATCTGTCAAATTCTAGTTAAAAATTCACAACTAACCATAGTTGCAGTTTTATCAAAATCAGTCCCTTTGAACCTTTCAACAAGAGCCAGTGTAACTTAAATTCAACTGACCCGTATTTTTAGTGGACACAGCAGGAAGAGGCAATTTGTAGGAAAAGAAGACAAAGCTTTGCCATTATTCTTCTTCAGAAACCATACGTTTCCACAAAACCTGGTTCCTGTGTGGTAGGTACGTACAAATGCAAAACCTTACAGCATGAAACACTGGGCACAGCTCTGCACTACCTTTTCTAGCACCGCTGCTGTGGAAATGGTGATGGAGGGGGTGATTTCTATAGCACATAAGCTGACAAATAATTCATTTGAGCCTTCTTCTATCCTTAAGGGACCTCAATTCTTGTTTAAGCAAAAAGGATTAAGAAGAAAAGGAAAATAAGACTTTTATCACCTTCCTCTCTTTTTTTTTGGTGTAAAGATAGATGTGCAAATGTGCATTTTAAGTTTCAAGACCTCAGCTATATAAGGAAGGTTTATAGCACCAAGCCTGAAGAGGAAAAGCTCTTTGTAAATGTGTCATGTTCAATAAATAATAATAAAAAGTTGCTAACACTGCTTAGCAGAATGATAATAAAAAAAATCGCTGAACAAAGGGTTATACAATAGCACCCTCTAGCTCTGCTGATGGGGAAGTATCTCTCTCCTCCAACACCAGAAGAAAGAAAAAAGATGTATTCTTCTATTGGGAAAGATAGGTAGGTAACTTTCCTACTCCTGGATTTCTACAGCCACTGCTTTTGAGGAAGAAGGGAAATAGTAAGTGAAAAGAGTTCTGTATCTCCACTTATCAGTGGACTTCAGGCAGTGAAAGTACTGAACAGTGCCATGTAACAGGAAGGCAACCATCACTCCCATGGTCTCTTCCTGTGCCTTATTGGTTTTCACGGTGCAGAAAGCCAGCATGAGCACTGCCCATCTCACCTCAGTGGTGACATCAGGGTGAAGCTGAAATGCTCCAGCAATTTGATATCAGTCGCAGAAATCCAGGACTAGGAAGGATATGCAAGTGACCTACTCTAAGGCAGAAAAATGCATCAAGATTTTTTGGACATGCAATTGCCTGGATCATGCTTCAAAACCTGCAGCAAGCCACACTTCAGCCCATGTCTGAGGATACCACCACAAGGACTCGTTACGATAAGTTACAAAATGTTCCTAATATTTTACTTGGCTATTTTCTCTGCAAAGGGAGGTCTGGAGACATAAAAAGTGGGAACTTCTCCAGACAAGGCCCAGGCTCCTAGACCTAGTACCAGGATCTGTATTGTCTCATGTGAGGTGACAGATTTAAGCTTCCAGGACAATACATGTGCACAGTGTAGGAGTTTATATTTATGCACAGAAACAGCCTTTGAGTCTAGCATCGCTCCACAGAGAGCCTGTGGGCAAGGTTTAATGGGCTTGGAAATCCTTTTTTATACAAGAGGATGATTAAAATAGCATGGGAAGGCTTCCCTTCCCATGGCAAAGCTGTGTCTGAGTGGCAAAGACATATGGGTAGAAGCGGAAACACAGTTCTTCCAGGAGAAAAACCCACCGGTTAAAATCATGGCAACAGTATTGTTAGAGTTCACTGTCATTTGGACAGGACTTGGTACTTACTTCTGGATCGGATATAGCAATCATTGCAGTTAAGAAGACCATTTCTAATCCTGACATCTGTCCCACTTGCTGCATCTCCCAGCTGTCCCTTGCAAATGCCACACTGTCAATTCAAGAACAGAGAAAGTAAGAGAGACCGTGCCCTACTATCTGTCATAACTCTCCCCAAATTTAAATAGTTCTTGGAACAGTGAGAAAAAATAACCACCCAGAACCCAGTGCCTACTCCTGGGGAGCTGGATTTCAGCAGCCTCCACTCATACAGAAGTGAAGTTTAGTGATTTTAAGGGACATCTGATTTTAACATTGCATTCTGAAGCCAGCCAATTCTCAAGAACAGTCATGAAGTATTTCTGTTGACAGCTCTGGTTAAACCACGACACCAGACTACATCATCCGTTCCATAGTCACAGCTTTCCAATCACCGACCGGATCAAAGATGGCTTTGGGACTGACCAGGATTTTTTTTTTTGGTAACTAATGTTATATTTAAAAACAGCGAGTACGACTGGGAAATTATATGATGCTTCCCTCTATAAGTGAGGAAGTTTGCTTGCTAAATCACAGGTGTTAGTCCAATTAACGTCTGACAACAAAATAACACATTAGCTGCATTACTTCAACGTCTCTACAAACAAACACACCTAACAAACGTGAATCCCTTGGTTCTCTCACATTTTCTGTTTCACATCTACAGCACTCTCTTCTCACACTGTGCATGACTTGAGATTTCTCTTAATAAAGCAAGAGACATACCCTGAAGCACTGGATATGGAAATAAAGACTAAGCGTTTCAATAATCATGGCAGCTCCTTTTCCAAGAGGAAGCCCACAGGTAGAACAAAGCTTCTTTCCGCTGACAGACCTAGGAGACAAACACGACTTTAAGAAAACAGAAGAGCAACTGATGATAAAATGCAGCCAAATGTTTATGCAGGTTTATGGAGAGGGACAGTATGTGAGGAAGGAGTGTTGAGGGGTTTCACATTGATATTTTAACCATGTGGCTGAATCAGCCTGAGCGTCTGCCCTGCCGACAAGCAAGCAGAGGACTTCAACTGCTTAGTGGATGAGGGAAAGTCTGTGGATGTTGTCTACCTAGACTTTAGTGAAGCTTCAACACCATTTCCCACAGCATTCTCCTGGAGAAACTGGTTGCTTATGGCTTGGGTAAAACCCTGTCTGGATGGCCAGACCCAAAGAGTTGTGGTGAATGGAATGATATCCAGGTTGGCAGCCGGTCCCAAGTGGTGTTCCCCAGGGCCAGTTCTCTTTAACATCTCTATCAATGACCTGGATGAGGGGATCGAGTGCACCAAGTTGGGTGGGAGTGTTGATCTGCCTGAGGGCAGGAAGGCTCTTTGGATTGGGTAAAACCCTGTCTGGATGGCCAGACCCAAAGAGTTGTGGTGAATGGAATGATATCCAGGTTGGCAGCCGGTCCCAAGTGGTGTTCCCCAGGGCCAGTTCTCTTTAACATCTCTATCAATGACCTGGATGAGGGGATCGAGTGCACCAAGTTGGGTGGGAGTGTTGATCTGCCTGAGGGCAGGAAGGCTCTTTGGACGGATCTGGACAGGCTGGATCAATGGGCTGAGGCCACTGTGTGAGGGGCAACAAGGCCAAGTGTTGGGTCCTGCCCCTGGGCCAGAACAACCCCCTGCAACGCTCCAGGCTTGGGGACGAGGGACTGGAAAGCTGCCCAGTGGGAAAGGTGCT